TGAGTCCCTGCTGTTCCCCAGTCTAACGCTGCTTCCTCTCCACCAGTTCCAGCCTGCGTCCCACCCTGTGGTGAGTGCCTGTCCCCTTGTCTTGCCCTCCCTTGTCCCCTAGTACATCTCCCACTCCCCTGGGACCACCAAGTCTCTCTTTCCCAGGATTCCAGCCAGATGCCCGTGTCTTCCAGTGTGCTACCTGTCACTTTGCAGACTGCGAGTTTCCCCTGGACTGCCCAGGTATGGGACCACGCCAGGTTGTTGCATTAAGAGTAAGGAAATCTTCCCCAGCTTACCCCCTTTCTTAGGTTATTTTTATACTATTTTTAATATTTTGGTGGAGCTTGAGTGACTCCAGCCATGCCTTTGGTACTGACTGGGGGCAGATGGTATCGCTTTGCTTTTAAAGGTCCAGGCTAGAAAGATGCAGAGCATGCACTCAGCGAGGAGTAGTTGCACATTGAGGGTGGGTAGCTGTTGAGATGGAGGTGTGTTTGGTATTATAATGAGATGATAATGAGCAAAGTACCTCCGAGGGACAGGATTTCACCACAAAATCCAGTAATTGCTATCTCAGCAACTGATATTCTGAATGGAACAGGATATTACCTCTTGTTTGGCAAATGCCATGTGTTGTATCAGCCCCACTGAGTTCCCATACCTGCTGTGATCCCAACATGTGTAAAGTGATCCTTAAATACCAACTACATTCTACCCCGGAATTCTACAACTCTCTTTAGGATGTGGATGTAACTTTAGTCTCAGTAATTTTCCCCCAGTAGTTCTTCCACCCAGACCCAGGCACCCAGGCTGGGCTCACCTCCCTCCCAGAGCTGGGTGCCCCCCGGGCTCTGGAGACACCCTGTATTTCTCACCTGTGCTCCCACCCTGAGCACACCTGCCAAGGTGTCCAGCTGCCCGTCCCTGCAGCCAGCACAGGAGCACCATCCCCTCTGTCAGGGCACACCCAGGTGTGAGCTCACGTGCCTGGCAATGCTCCCAGTGCAGGACCTGCGGACCTACACGGATGAGACCATCGTGCTGCTCTGTGACGTGCCCTTCTCCTTCCCCGGCAGCCTGCCCGTCACCTGGATGTATGTCCCAAATGTGAGTTGCACGTGAGCGTGGAAGGGTGTGAGTAGACATTCTGGGGAGGGCTGGGCACGGGTAGCCAGGCCTGCACACACACACAGCTGTTTGCTTGGCGTGAGGTCTCTCACGGGTACTGCTGCCACCATGTGCTGGAAGTAGCAGCTGTGAAAGCACACACAGGGGGCAGGTCACTCATGTGTTTGCAGGTCCATGTGTGCACGTGTAGAGTCATAAAATTACAGGATGGTTTGGGTTGGAAGGGACCTTAAAACTCATCTCATTCCACCCCCTGCAATGGGTAGGGACACCTTCCTCTAGACAAGGTTGCTCCAAGCCCCATCCAACCTGGTCTAACTGAACAAGTTATGTTTCTTTAAAAAGGAGCCTATGCATCAGTGAGGGAAAATGTTAAGAGGTGATTTTAGATAATGGATGACGGGTAAGCTCTGGGTGATGTCCATGTGTTAGAAAAACAAATTAAAAATTTAGGGCTTTTGACATACTTTAGTGTTCTCAGACCTGGAGGGGGAAGTTAACAAACCCTGGAAGAGAAATTTACTGTTGAGAACTGAACACCAGGATTGCAGAATTTATAAACCACAAAGACATGTTACATAAACCAGAGATGCCCTGTCTGGGAAAAAGATAATTAAAAGACTGAAAATGTGAACCAATTAACATGAAAAGCAAGAAATCCATAACCAATAGAATAATAATGCATGAAGAGAACTATATAACATGTAAGCCAATGAACACTACATCTTTTGTTTGCTGAAATGTATAAATAGTTAAAAGTTTTCATGAGTGATGTAAATGTGAAGCAATACCCGTGTACCTCAGCACTGAATAATGTCGGCTTTCTGATTAGAGTGTTCATTTCCTGGGTTTTGGTGACACTGGGCTTGAACACTTTCAGGAACAGGGCAGCCACAGCTTCTCTGGACAACCTGTGCCAGGGCCTCACCACCCCCACAGGGAAGAACTCCTTCCCACATGTGCAGGAAATGACTTTTGTGTCCACTGTGGTTGTGCATCCCTGTGTGCACACATGGGGCACAGGGAGAGTGTGTGGGACAGGAGGTGTGTCCACGTGCACCAGCACAAGAAGCATGAAGGGGACATGTCAAGCACATGCAGGACACGGGTGCCTTTGTATGCACACGTGTGCTGTCCCATGTACCTTGTGGGCTGTGCTGACAGATCCCCCCCCACGCCCCAGCTGCGCACACAGGACATGTCACTGTTCAAGGAGCTGAAGGGGAATCCAAAGAACCCCTCCAGCCTGACCATCGAGGAGCCCGCTCCAGGAACTGTTGCCTGTCGCCTGGGGGAAGTTTCCAAGCCCTTTGTCCGCAAGTTCTTCTACCTCAATGGTGAGCCCAGACACCTGAGTGCCCTGGGGGCAGGGAGCAGTGAGGGGGGGAGCTGAACCCCAGACACCCGGGTCCGTGGGATGGGGGTGCTTGGGGGTGTGGGCAGGGTGCCAGGGTACGTCAGTTCATGGTGGACAGGTGAACTGGAGCAGGTGTTCCCTGATCCCTGGCTCCTCTGGGGGCGGTGGGGCATGTGGGTTGGAGCGGGGACCCCGAGACAGTGAGGTCTGTGGCTGGGGCAGGTGCTGCAGGGCCCCGTGACCTGAGGTGCCGGTGTCCCCACAGTGTCAGAGGGGAGCGTGGAGGAAGAGAGAGGGCTCCAGGCTGTGTTCAGTGCTGTGCTGCACTGGCTCCACAACGAGATCCCCCAAGCTCCCATACCAACAATGGGGCTGGCACTGGGAGTTGCCTCCATGGCGCTTGTGCTGCTGGTGGTGTGAGTATTGCTGACCTGGTAATCTGTACCCTCAAAGTCCCCATGGCTTCTGGGGTCCCTCACAGAGCAGCAAGGGACTCCCAAACCTCACTGGATTCTCAGTTGCTTGGGATTCTCTCCAAGTGGGAGGAGACCCAGGTGTCCAAGGATGGACCATAGACTGCCAGGACTCCTAAACTCACAGGGCCCTCCATGTCCTCAGGACTCCCATTGTCCTCTGGCCCATTCCAGGCTCTCCCCCTTGCACCCAGGATCACTCCAGGCTGCCTTGCTTCCCACAGATTCCCTAATTGCCCCTGAAACCCTGCAACTTTCCCATGTTTTCCCTAGAGCCCCCACTGTCCCTTTGGGTGCCCCATTTACAGTCAGTTGTCCCAGTTGCCCTCAGGGTCCCATTCCTTTACCCTCAGAGCCATCAGTTGCTCCAAGGGCCTCCCAGTTGCCCCTTGAGCCCCCCAGATGCCCCATGTGTACCCATTGCCACCCCCACATCCCCTGATGGAAATATAGGGTGTCCTCCCTGCTTCCCCTCTTTCTTCATCCCTCCTTCTGTCTCCCAGGGCCCTGTGGCAATGTGCCCGCTGGACATCCCGCAGGCGTGAACAACAGGGTATCCTGGAGGATTCCGGATCCCCTGATTCACCCTTGGGACCTTAACACATGGATTCATCCCCGAGGACCAGCATTTCTGCATCTGGTTTTCTTGTGCTGGTTGTGCAAATGAGAACAGTCTAGAAACAGAAATACAGAGTTCTGAAAATCTGGATTATGCCAGTGGTAGAAATCTGGGGTTCTTTTGACTTGCAGACAGAAAAACTGGGTACCAGGCAGCATTTTCCTTTTCATGGGTGGACATTCCAACTGCAGTTGGAGCTGTAGAGCTATCAGTGCTTGTGATGATGATGGTGGAGGAGCCCGAGCTGTGGCCCCCAGGCTGCAGCCCAGCCTGTCCTGCCCTGTCTTGACCCCAGCAAGGACCTGCTGGGGTCCTTCTGCAGGTGTCCTCCATTTCCCTCTGTGTGCACCCAGATCTCCTCTGTTTCCCTCATCAAATACTCAGATCTTCTCTGTTCTTTCTAGTGTCTGCTTGTGCCTCCCCTCTGGGCACACTCACATCCCTCTTTTTCATGACAAGTACCCTCAGATTCCATCCGTTACCCTCCACTGGTGATCAGATCCCATTGTCCATTCTGTGGGTGTTCAGTTCCTATGGGTTCCATGATGATGTCCCTCCCAGCCCCTCTGTGCACCCTTGTTTCCTTCCACTTTCCCTCCATGCACACTTAGGTCCCCTCCATTCCCCTCACGCTCAGATTCCTGTTGCTTGCCCTCCATCCACTCGGTTTCATTCTGGTCCTGGGCAGACACTTGCTTTCCTCTGTAGCCATCATCCTGCATGACCAGTCCCCCAAACCCAGTGCCCAGAGGCCACAGCTGTCTCATCTGCCGTACAGAAATCTTTCAAGGCCATTCAGCTGCCTTCTTGCAGGTCAGGACTGTGGCCCATGGGTGAGTCGAGACTTCCTCTGCTTCCCTTAGATGGAAACCCCTCTGCCTGTGTCCTGTGCTCCAGAATGCACCAGCTGCTCCAAACACTGTCACACAACTCCCTGCAAGTCTTGGGGCCCCACCCAGAGCTGGGCTTGACAGGAGCAGATTAAACAAGAGCCCCTTGACCTGGCAGCACCTGCTGCAGTGGTGGGAGGCAGGGACAGCCCCGTGTTTGCTCTCCACCTGGTTGGTGACTGTGGCGTTCAAGTGTTTGTTCACTGAGCTACACTCTTCAAAGTTCCCAAATATGCTTGTTACCAGGGGAAATTCCATCCAAGTCGCTAAGCACTCACAGAAGAGACCATTCCAAGGATTCTTGCTGGCATGGGGATTATTTTCTTTGCAGCTCAGGGACCTGTGCACTCAGAACCACAGGCACCTCCACCTCAGCTGGTATTTTCTGAGGGCACAGAGGAAACCAACCTGATCTCCTCCTCCAGGAGAAAAGGGGGGCAGGACCCACTCAGCCCGCCCACTGCAGGAGGCACTACAAATGCCTCTGTGCAACCGGCTGCTCCAGAGCTCTGTGCTCCAGAGCATTCCCACCTGGAGCCATGGGTGAGTACAGGGCTGGGAAGAGGGGGGATTCTTGCCAGCAGTGGGGGGAGCACAGGTAGGGCAGCCCAGCAATAGGGAGAGGCTCCATGCACACTGATGGGGAGCAGTGGCATCAGTGCCCTCCTGGGAGCACCAGCAGCTCGTCCCCTGCCTTCTGGCTCCCCCCAGCCAGTCCCCTGCTCCAGGGGCCAGGAGTGAAACTTGGCTCAGTTGGTTGTTGGGTGCAGATCAAGGGGGAAAGGCAAGGTTGTCTACCCCTTGGGCAAGCCTTCCAGCTTGCAGGAAGCAGCCTGATGCTGCCCAGCATTCTTGGTGCTCTCCTGCACCTCACAGGGTCGTGTTAACTGTGGTGCTGGAGCCATGGGATGTCCAG